CGGGGGTGGGGTGGGGCAGCGCCGGGAGTCGAAGGGGAGCGCGCGAAGGGGTGCATGATTGAGTCCGTCGGTCTGTGTACTTGGCATGAACACGCCGCCGTTCTCACGGTCGGTGATCATCAAGTCAGAGGCAGAAACCGTGACATTGCTTCCGTTGCCGCTGAAATGAGTTGGATTTGTAATTGCATGAAACTGGTCTGAAATTATGAAAATGTATTTTCGTTTTCAATGATGGTAGGATCGTCGATATATTATTATGAAATTAGACAGTATGTTATCAAGTAGTTAAAGAAATATTTTTATTCTTGTTTTTCACACAAGGATACCACATCCTGCATATGCACAAAATGAATAATACGTGAGCGTCCATTACACCTTTTTATTTTCAACTATGAACAATACGAAAACGCCATTTCTATAAACGGTATTATAGTAACAACCGGAAGTATGTAGCAACAGTTAACTTAATCATTATCCTATATTTTACATAACACACACACATATTGTTAATTAGAATTTTTAAATAACCACATTTCACCCCATCTTAAAGGCTTCATTAATTATATAAAATGAGTTAATTCTTAAGATATTGTTTTATTATCTCTCCCATAAAATTCTGACTTGCTTGTAGCTTTTCAAGAGGACAAGCGCTTAATATAATTTTTGCATGTTTGAACAAGCCGCATTAAATTCAATTTTTTAAATTTTAAAAATGGTTTTAAATTCACACACACACACATGCATGTGTAGTATGAAAAATAGTATGAAAAACGGTTATTTTTTACGGTAGTACGGTTTTTTACGGTTCAAGTAATTTTAACGGATACTGCAATGACGTGTATATGTAATACAATAACAATATATACAGTACAACACTTCTTTATATACACTAAGTATTTCCAAACAATCGCTGCTTAATAATGAAATATGAATAGAAAACATTTAAAGGCGGCTGACCTCTTCTTCGAAGCCGTCGTGCCTCATGTCGTAAGTAGTGATATCAGAATTCAATCAGTTCACGCACTAGAAGTACTTCCGGGATAACAGAAACGAACATTTTAATTTTTGTGTAAACATAAAATATTGATTTCTTTTGCATATTATCCGAGTTACAGAGTATTTAACGAAATTATATACACCTCTCACGAGATTGGAGAATGCAAAAAGTTCCAGCTTTACGTGTATTCTAAATTATAATAATTCGATATTGCTACTTCCAAGAACTTACAAGGAACAGGTGCACACTGTTGAAGGCGAGCTATTGCGATTATTACAACAATCGTTTGAAAATATCAACTGAAGAAATAAACCCCACATATGTATAAGGCAATCAGCCAAAAAGTTATGGCATGTAAAATGCAATTGTTTCTCAGGATACTTATCAATGGAGTTCGAAGAGTACTCAACAGAAATACAGCCCGAAATGTATCGGAGAAATGAAAGTGTAAAAACATTGTTTGTAAATTTTATATAGAAATGAAATGGTTTGAGGTGTATTCCACCTTAACCCATGAATTTTAGGGTTAAAGAGCAAGTTTAAAGGGGCAGAAGGAGTTTTTCTTGATGACGTGTCTCACATTGTTTGTGCAGAGTGATGTATTCTCTTTGTTCTAGCTTGTTTTCTGTTCTATGGCTTCACACAAAGGAAACGAGGTCTGAAGTTGGTATAATTGCTGATCGACACGCTCCGGAGTGAAGTAAACTGTTTAAAAATTAGCTACGCTCTCCCACAAAAGACGTCTCTGCTGGTTTGAAATTATGAAGTATCGTTATTGCTACATTAGTATAAGTCCATATCAACCAGCAGTAAACGCAAACAAAGCAGCTTTAAACGTCTCTGAAAATAAGAATAAATTAATAAAATAAAAGATGAATTAATAAGTTTCATATACTACATAAATTTCGTAAAACGCAGTGGTCAAAACTAACTCTAATTTCATTCGTTAGTTAACTCTACATTATCTCAAAATTAATATTAATAATTCTTATTGCCTCTTATTTGAAGTTTAATGATTCCTCAAAGCCGTGAACCATAAGGATAAGAAGAAAAACTTGAACGGGGAAAGCCTGCCATCAGAAGACGAGTACATGCGAGTCAATCAAACTGTTTCTAAACTATTTATTTATTTTATGCTGCGGACGTGACGCATTCTTCC